GCGCGCTCCCGCCCCTGGGGACACTGCGAGCCCGCGGTTTCCCGCGAACCCTGGTTTGGGTCCCTGTGGACGGGAGCAGGGAGGTTCCTCAGCGTCGTCTCCGGTCGGGTTTGTGGGTCCCTGGAGTTCTGGCTGTAGCTGTACTATGTTCGGTGAGAGGACTGTGCCGCGGAACCTGGAGGGCGGTCAGTCCGCGGTGTGTGCCTCATCCCTCACCTGGGGAGATCGTTCTCGCCTTGTGTTCAGATGGGAGGCTCACCTTGTTTCGCGTTGAGAGAAAAGTAAATGCAAATCCACTTACACCCAGTGAGGTTCTCAACTTACAATCTAGGACTTGGAGGGTTGGATCTCTTACCCTTTGAGACAGGATGGTTGGACCTGGAGAGAATTAGGCTAAGCTCACCATTTTAAATTGTACATGACGGTTCCGCGGTGTGAAGCACAACACTCTCATTGTGCAACCATCACCACTGTACATCTCCGGAACTTTTTCTTCATCCTAACCAGCAACTCTGAACATAGTAGCTCCCTCTTCCGTTCTCCACCTGGCACCTGGTCCCCTCTAATGCTCTTGCTCGTACTTCATATCAGTGGAATACATCATTTGCCCTTTTATGTCTGGCTTATTTCCCTTACTGTGATGTTGTCAAGGTTCATTCATATTTATAGCACGTATCAGAATTTCATTTTTAAGATTGAGTAATATTTTGTATGTATACAACGCATTTTGTTTATTCATCTACCTTTTGGCTGTTGTGAATATTGCATTCATGTCTGTTAACTGAGTAGGTAGTTACTTTTTTTCCCCTTATCCACTTATTACTGAATCATCTGGTAGATCATTCAACTTGGAGGTTTTGTCTGTTAGTATTGCAGTGAAGATCTTCATTACTTTAGCTTTTTATATATTTTGGATAGTTTCCTTAGGCTCATTCCAGTAGAGAAATTAGTAAGTACTTTAAAAGCATTTGAGAATAATTGGCAAATTGCCAGTGAGAGTATTGATTTGATAGCATCATTTTTTATGTCAGACATTATCATTACATTTTTCCCCATTTAAATGTTTTTATGTGGTAAAGTCCAATTTGTTATCTTACATAAAATAAAATTTACCATCTTACCCATTTTTAAGTGTACAGTAAGTAATATCAGGTACATTCATATCTTTCTGCAACCATCCACCTCCAGAACTTTTTGGTTTTGCAAAACTGAAACTCTGTACCCATGAAATAATAGCTCCCAATTCCCCAGCCCCCGGAAACCACCTTTCTGCTTCTGTGAATTTGACGAGCTCATATAAGTGGAATCATACATTTGTATTTTTTGTAACTGGATTATTTCACTTAGTGTAATGCTTTTGAATGTTGTAGCATATGTCAGAATTTTCTTTTTAAGGCTGAATAGTCCATATGTATTGTACTAGTATGTACCACATTTTACTTATCTGTCCATGGACTTGGGTTGCTTCTACATTGTAGCTATTGTGAATAAGGCTGCTGTGAATGTGGATGTACAAATATCTCTTTGAGACTCTGAATTTTATTATTTATTTGTTAATTAACTTTATTAGTGTAACATTGGTTAATAGCATTATGTAAGTTTCAGGTGTACAATGCTATAATACATCATCTGTATTTTGCATTGTGTGCTCACGACCCAAAGTCTAGTCTCCTGTCTCCATATATTTGACCTACTTTACTCTCTTTATCCTCCCCCATACCCCTTTCCCTCTGGAAACCACCATACTATTGTCCCATGTCTTTGAGTTTGTTTTGTTTGTTCCTTTGTTGCTTTCTTTTTTATATTCCACATATGAGTGAAATCATGTTTCTTGTCCTTTTCGTCTGACTTATTTCACTTAGCATGATACTCTCAAGATCAAACGGCAGTATTTCATTTTTTTTCTTACGGCTGAGTAATATTTCATTGTATATATGTACCACATCTTTATCCAGCCATCTGTTGAAGGACACTTTTACATTGTTTCCATGCCTTGGCTACTGTGAATAATGCTGCTGTGAACATGGAGGTACATACATCTTTACAAATAAATGTCTTCAATTTTTTTGAGTAGATACTCAGAAGAGGGATTGCTGGGTCATACGGTTAGCTCTATTCTTAATTTTTTGAGGAACCTCCATACTGTTTTCTATAGAGGCTCCACCAGTTTACATTCCCACTAGCAGAGAATGAGGGTTCCCTTTTTTCCACATCCTCTCCAACTCTTGTTATTGTCTTATTGCTAGTAGGCATTCTAACAGGTGGTATCTCATTGTGGATTTGATTTGCATTTCCCCTAAAGTTGAGCATCTTTTCATCTATCTGTTGGCTGTCTGTATGTCTTATTGGGAAAAATGTTCAGGTCCTCTGCCCGTGTTTTAAATTGGATTGTTTTGTTGTTGGGTTGTACGAGTTCTTTATATATTTTGGATATTAGCCCTTTTTTGGTGGTATCGTTTGCAAATTATCTTTGCCCATTCGGTTGGTTGCTTTTTTGTTTTGTTGATTATTTCTTTTTCTGTGCAGAAGCTCTTTAATTTGATGTAGTTCCATTCATTTATTTTTGTATTTGCCTTAGGAGCAATGGTTCAGTATTCACTAACTCAGTGTTTATGTCGACCTTGAGACCATAACTACCTTGAATAAGACTTGACTGTAATTGTGTCTATTTCTTGTTAGAGCTCAGATGCCTTGATCCCACCTAATGCTTAGCCCAGTGCCTGACACATCCATGGTTCTCAATAAATATTTGAATGAAAGAATGAATGTTTGCTTACTCTCTTGTGAATTCATGTTCACCTCCTTTGCCCTAATATTAATTTAGTCTCAATGTTTTTCATATTAATTTTTTGGAATTCTTGTATGAAATATATGTCTTAATTTTTTTATAGGTCTGGGATAAAAGTGAAAGTGGAGAGTGGCATTGTACTGCTAGCTGGAAGGTTAGTATTTATTTTTACAGTAATTTTTAAAAAATGAATTGTTTAATATCTATTTGAGAGTATCAGAGACTTTGCTGTTCAGCTTTGGGAGAATTATAAAATTTATACTTCTTTTCCTAAAAAGGAATTTTACATTTTTTAGCATTAAAGTAACAGAAGTACACTTTAGAAAATTTGAGAATAAGAAAATTTGTAATCCCATAGCATTCTAACATAATTATTTTTAGCACGTTAGTATTTATTTTTCCATTTACATATTTTCAATAGCTGTGATGTTTCATACACTTTTATTTCTTAATTTTTTAAAAAAACAACTTTACTCAGGATTTTACATACCTTAAGAGTCATCAATTTTAAGTGTACAGTTCAGTGAGTTTTAGTAAATACAGTTGTGCAAACATCCCCACAATCTAGTTTTTTGTTTGCTTTTTAAAAATATATTTTATTGATTTTTTTAAGAGAGGAGGGAGAAGGAGAGGGATAGAGAATTAGAAACATCAATGAGAGAGAAACATTGATCAGCTGCCTCCTGCACACCTCCTACCGGGGATGTGCCCGCAACCAAGGTACATGCCCTTGACCGGAATCGAACCTGGGACCTTTCAGTCCGCAGGCCTATGCACTATCCTTTGAGCCAAACCGGTTAGGGCCACAATCTAGTTTTAGAACACTTTCCTCAGCCCTGAAATTTCCCTTGTGCTTTTTTGAGGTCAATCTCCATTTCTCTCTCAAACTCCAGGCAACCACTGAACTATTTTCTGTCTCTTATAGATTTACCTTTTTTTAGACATTTCAGATAAATGGAATTCTATAATATGTAGTTCTTTGTTTCTGACTACTTTCTCTTAGCATGTTTTTGAGGTTTATCCATGTTGTGGCATGTGTAAGTAGTTTGATTTTTTTGTAATGCTGAGGAGTATTCCATTGTATAGAGAAAGCCATGTTTTGTTTATTCATTCACCAGTTGATAGACATTTGAATTATTTCTAGTTTTTTGTAATTATGAATAATGCTGTTATTAACATGCCATATAAATCTTTGTGTGTACATACATTTTATTTCTCTTAGGTAGATACCGAGGAGTGGAATGGCAGGGTTGTATATGTTTTAACTTTCTAAGAAACTGCCAAACTGTTTTCCAAAGTGCCTGTACCATTTTATATTCCCACCAAGAAATATATGAGGGTTCCAGTTTGTGTACATCCTCCCATACACTTGATATTTTCTCACTCTCTTTTTTTTTTATTATAACCATCTTGGTCGGTGTGAATTGGTATCTCATTGGGTTTTGATTTGTATGCCCTTAATGACTAAATGTGTTGATTAAGTTTTTATGTGCCTATTTGCCATTCATACATCTTTGGTGAAGTGTCTATTCAAATCTTTTGCCCTCTTCCCTTTTTAAAATTGAGATGAGATTCGCATAACATAAAATTAATTATCTTAAAGAAAACAGTTCAGTGGCATTTATTCCACTGACAGTGTACAGCTATCACGTCTGTTAAATTCCAAAGCTTGATCATTCCAAAAGGAAACCCCATTTTTTGCTTTTCAATTTCACAGCTACTTTCATAAGTACTTCAGAGTGTTTTCAAAGGCTTTTTAAAAACATAAATATACCAATAAATACTATACCCTGTTTTGCTTAACTAATGGATATTTAAGTTGTTTCTTTTTATTGTGATGAACATCTTTGTGCAATATTTATTCTTTAGTTAGATTGTGCTTTGCCCGGAATCTGACATTTAACAAAATCTCACTGCCCTAGTGCATCTTTTTACTTAATAGCCTGTATAAATAAGAAAGGTGAAACAAGAATAAGACTGGACAAAACAAAGAATAAAAACTAAAGGTGTAAGGTTTGCCTTTGGATGATGTTATTGTTATCATGTTAACAGATTCTGAAAGTATTCTGAGATTATTGAGTGTTAAAATGTTAGATATGCAGAAGCATAAAACAAATTTTGTAAACATAATTGGTGGACTGGTGCTTGTTGTCATATAGTATTTTTACTGGCAAGCACAAATGAAATTCTGTTGTAAAGACCTTTCTGTCCTTTTTTTCCTTTGGTCAGTGCGAAGAGTTGAAGAATAGTAATTTGGCATTTTTCCTATATGAAGATACTGCTTTTGAGCTTTAAATTATTTTCTCAGAATACAAGGATTTGGGTTTCTCTATATTTGCTCACTCATTGCCTCTTTCCCTAGAAGAGTTCATTGTCTAGACCAGTGGTCGGCAAACAGCGGCTCGGCAAACTGCGGCTCGTGAGCCACATGCGGCTCTTTGGCCCCTTGAGTGTGGCTCTTCCACAAAATACCGACTTCTGCGCATGGGCCATGAAGTTTCAATTGCACTGTATGTGCGCGCCCACACATGGTATTTTGTGGAAGAGCCACACTCAAGGGGCCAAAGAGCCGCATGTCGCTCGCGGGCCGCGGTTTGCCGACCACTGGTCTAGGCAGACATCAGAGTCATTTAAGCATTTTGTTGCTATAGTTTCTATATACTGTTAGGCTTTTGAAGCAAATAATTTTGATTAATCTTATTTATTAGGTGGATGGTTCCTGTAGATATAATTTACAAAGTTAGTGGACTAGTAGAATCTCTATTTAAAAGTTTGTTTAGGCTAAACTCTGAAGCAGGTCTCTATTAGCACTAGAAGAGGTCAGCTTTATGCAGTTGGATTTTTCTTTATTAGTAAAACGTTAGAAGAACTTGACTCCAGAAAGTCTACAATTCTAAATATCTTTAAGTTAAAAAGTTTTAGATTTTAACTTTTTATATTAATGTTAAATTGAATAGCTTTCTTCTTTTACTGAAGTAGAAATACCTGTATTCTGTTTCTTTAAGTAAAACCTTAAATGTGTGAAATATGAGTAAACTCAGTTTTTTGGTTTTTGTTTTTAATTCCTCAGACACATAGTGGATCTGTGTGGCGTGTGACATGGGCTCATCCTGAATTTGGACAGGTTTTGGCTTCCTGCTCTTTTGACCGAACAGCTGCTGTTTGGGAGGAAATAGTAGGAGAATCAAATGACAAACTGCGAGGACAGAGTCATTGGGTAAGATATTTGTTAGTTTTTGAGAAATGCGGGGCATGAGCATCCAAGGATCATTAGTCTTTCCAAGCACACTTCAGGCACTTTGTGTAAGATGTTATCACTCCCCTCTATGTTTATCAGTTTCATTGTTCGTTCTTCCGTGTTTTTCTCCTGTTTATCTCATTTTGTGTTGGGCTTGAAGTGGTACTTAGGAGTACCCATGGCATTGTTTAAGTATAACTTTCATGGTGAATCCAGAATATTTGCTTTGTCATAGAGTACACTCTAAAATTCTTTAAAAATTGTTTTTTCCCTTTTGTGGTTACTTTTTCCTTCTTACAAAATATACTCTTTTATACTCTTTTTTTTTTTTTTTTAATCTGTTTCTGCTTTAACTCTAGTTCTTCTTTGATTGTTTGAATTTAGGTAAGAGCATAGTGTGTTTGCTATTCAAGTTCCCTGTATGTACAGTGAGAGAATTGAACTCGATTGCCTTGAAGACCCATTCCAGTGTTTTCTTCCCCCCTCTTTATTTTTCCTAATAGATATTGAGGTACAAGTATAAAATTCAAAAAGTACAGACAAGTGTATACAGTAGGAATGTCCTCTTCTCTGGTCATATAGTTTTCTTTCTAGAGGCAACCACTATTACAGGTTTTTTATATATCCTTCTGGATTTATTACATGTCTTAATAAAGACATAAAAAGAATGGTACCAGGTGGGTGGGGTCAGACCAGACCTCCTGTCAGCAACCTCAGTATTTGAGTTCTGGTTAAGAAAGAATTCAGAGGCAAGACTCAAACTATAATAGAAAGTTTATTTAAAAAGTCACAGAGGTAGAAGTGAGCTGTAGAAATGGGCTCAGGATATGCTGGACAAAGGGATGATTCCTGTCCCTAGCTGGATAGTGAGAGATTTTCTGATACTCAGAATGGCACCCAATTAAAAACTTACTAATTGTTTATTTCTGGAATTGTCCATTTAATATTTTCGGACTGTGTTTGACAGCTGGTAATCAAAACCACAGAATGGGAAAACACAGATAAGGAGGGAACTATTGTATATAATTTAAATTGTTAAAAAAAAATTTTTTTTTTCAGGTTAAGAGGACAACGCTAGTGGACAGCAGAACATCTGTTACTGATGTGAAATTTGCTCCTAAGCATATGGGTCTTATGTTAGCAACCTGTTCAGCGGATGGTATAGTAAGAATATATGAGGCACCAGATGTCATGAATCTCAGTCAGTGGTCTCTGCAGCATGAGATCTCATGTAAACTAAGCTGTAGTTGTATTTCTTGGAACCCTTCAAGGTAAGCTTGCACAGCAAACTTCTGATAATTTAACCCTAGTAAAACAAATTGGTAAATTTTTAAAAATCCTCATCCAAGGATATGTTTTTATTGACTTTTAGAGAGAGGAAGGGTTAGAGAGAGAGACCAAGAAAGATAGGAGATATCGATAGGAGAGAGAAACATAGATCCGTTGATTTTGGTACATGCCCTGACTTGGGATCGAACTCAGAAACTGTATGTGCCCTTGACCGGGAATCGAATCTTTGACCCTTCAGTGCCTGGGCCAATGCTCTAACCACTGACCTACACTGGGCAGGGCAAGAGATCCTTCTTTTTTATAGCTGCATAGTATTCCATTGTGTAAATGTATCATAGGTTTTTTATTTTATTTTTCTTTAAAGAGTAGTGTTGATTTTTTTTGAAAGAGGAAGGTGGAAGAGAGAAACATCGATGTGAGAGCATAACATTAATCGGCGGTTTTCTGCAACACCCTCTACTGGGGATCAAGCTTGCAACCTGGGCATGTGTCCTGACCAGGAATTGAACTAGCAACTTCTCAGTGCACGGGACAATGCCTAATCAACTGAGCCATACTAGCCAGGGCATACCACAGCTTTTTTATCCACTCATCTACTGATAGGCACTTGGGCTTTTCCAGATCTTAGCTATTATAAATAATGCTGCTCTGAACATAGTGTTGCACATATTCTTTGTGATTAGTGTTTTAGGATTCTTAGTATACTAGAGGCCCGGTGCACGAAATTCATGCACGGGTAGGGTCCCTAGGCCTGGCCAGTGATCAGGGCTGATTGGGCCTTCCGGCTGCTGGGCCTTCCTTCTGGCTGCTGGCTGGGGCATCCCTTCCCTGGTTGCTGGCTGCTGGCCTGTGCCGCCCCCTTGTGGTCAGCACATGTCATAGTGAGTGATCAAACTCCCGGTCTCCCGTTCAAATTCCCGAGGGGACACTTTGCATTTTAGCCTTTTATATGTATAGATATTATTATAAGTGTGATTGCTGGGTCAAATAGCAGTTCCATTTTTAACTTTTTGAGAAAACTCCATATTGTTTTCCATGTTGCTATACTAGTAGTGTACTAGGGTTCCCTTTTTTCCCCACATCCTTTTTAGCACTTGTTTGCTGATTTATTAATAGTAGCCATTCTGGCAGGTTTGAGGTGATACCTCATTTTGGTTTTAATTTGCAGTTCTCTGATGATTAGTGATCTTGAGCAGTTTTTCCTTTTCTTTTAGAATATATTTTTATTGATTTCAGAGAGGAAGGGAGAGGGAGAGAGAGATAGAAACATCAATGATGAGAATCATTGATTGGCTGCCTCCTGCACGCCCCCTACTGGGGATCCAGCCAGCAACCTGGGCATGTGCCCATGACCGGAATTGAACCTGGGGCCCTTCATTCCACAGGATGACTCTCTATCCACTGAGCCAAACCAGCTAGGGCTATGTCGGTATATCCTCTTTGGAGAAATGTGAATTCAGGTCCTTTGCTCATTTTTAAATTGGATTTTGTCTTCCTTTTGTTGAGTTGTATGAGTTCTTTATATATTTTGGATATTAACCTCTTATCATATGTATCATTTGTGAATATGTTCTTCCATATAGTGGGTTCCCTTTGCATTTTGATGATGGTTTCTTTTACTGTGCAAAAGCTTTTATAGTTTAATATAGTACCTTTTGTTTATTTTGTCCTTTGTTTCTCTCACCCTAGGACAGTGATAGCAAACCTATGACGCGTGTCAGAGGTGACGCGCGAACTCATTGGGCTGACGTTCTGTCCACTGAGCCAAATCAGCCAGGGCCATGCTCTATTTTCTTAATAGCTCACTCTCTTACCTAGCGGTTTGGCTAAGTTTCATCTAAGTAGGTGGGGTGGGTTAGCAAGATTTCTTTGTAGAGAGTGCTAAAATGCCAAAACAGGAGGACTTGATTTTGGGGATGGAGCGCTTTAATGTATTTTGTTTCTTCTGGTCCCTCTTCCTGCAAGTTCTTCTCTCCTAAGTTCTATAACATCCCACTTGGATCATTTCTCAGACTTTAGCCTAGACCAGAGTTAGCCACCAGCCTTGGGGATCTTCTGATTGCAGTTCTTTAAATGAATCATTTCATGATACCCCAATGACTCATTCCTATTCTTTGCATTTGTGGATTGAAGATTCTGTGTCTCACCTTTTGCTTCTTGTCTTTAAATTCTTCCAAATTTCTTCATTTCTGATGGCACACACTGATTTCTAGCATAGTTGTGGTGTACTATATACAGATAGCTGGGTGGTTTTTCTCACTGTTTGAGTCACATTTGGAAAACAGCCTAAATGTGAACATCTTATGGATGTACAAATGAGTTAATTCCCAATTTACCAGATGTTTTATAATTTGACTTAAAATGCTTTAAAAGATATTTTTAATAACTTTAGAATATATTATTGTAAATATACTTTTAGTCCTTGCTCAAATATTTAATGTTAAAAAGAAAAAGTTAGCCGAACCGGTTTGGCTCAGTGGATAGAGGGTGCCAGGTTCGATTCCGGTCAAGGGCATGTACCTTGGTTGCGGGCGCATCCCCAGTGGGGGGCATGCAGGAGGCAGCTAATCGATCTCTCTCATCGATGTTTCTAACTCTCTATTCCTCTCCCTTCTTCTCTGTAAAAAAATCAATAAAATATTTAAAAAAAAAAAAGAAAAAGTTATATTTATAGAACATTAAAAAAGAGTTTGTGCCTGGCTGGTGTTGCTCAGTGGTTGAGCATTAACCTATGAACCAGGAGGTCATGGTTTGATTCCTGGTCAGGGCACATGCCTGGGTTGTGGGCTTGATCCCCAGTAGGAGGCCTATAGGAGGCAGCCAATTGATGATTCTCTCTCATCATTGACATTTCTCTCTCTCTCTCCTCTCCATTCCTCTTTCTGAAATCAATAACAAAATATATATTTTTAAAAAGAGTTTGTGAGATATAGAAATTACTGTGGAATTTACATCTCTTTGAATGGTCAAGAATTATTATAAACAACTTGTAATTTCATTTTATTACCATAGAACTTCGCCATTTACTTGATATTTTTCTTTGATTAGGTAACTTGATGCATTATCAATAGCTTTAGTAATAAAGAACTAAATGTGTGTTTTTTTAATAACACATTTTGTTTTTAGCCTTATGAGTTGTCAGATTACAATACCAAGGTCAAAGATTAAGGTTGTCATGTTCATTGAGATATTACTTAATCTGGAGGGAGGCAAAGGAAATCAATATATAGGTAATTAAATATTTAATTGAATAGAAATAAATCATTGAGCCTAGAATTCAGTAGAGTTCATTCTCTTACTGCTTATCTTTTTGCTTTTTAAAATGAGTCTAGAGAAGAAAATGACGTAGGGAGCATGGGAGCATGCCTTCTTGAGGGTTTTTTTTTTTTTAAATATATTTTACTATTTTTTACAGAGAGGAAGGGAGAGGGATAGAGAGTTAGAAACATCGATGAGAGAGAAACATCGATCAGCTGCCTCCTGCACACCCCCCACTGGGGATGCGCCCGCAACCAAGGTACATGCCCTTGACTGGAATCGAACCTGGGACCCTTCAGTCCGCAGGCTGACGCTCTATGCACTGAGCCAAACCGGTCGGGGTGAGGGGTTTTTTTCTTTTTGTACAGGCAACTTAAAATCTTTTTGTCAGGAATTTGATCACCATAAGGTTACTTTTCATTCCATAGTTAATGACCAAATCTTTCAGGAAGAAAAATTTGAAGAACTTGTAGGTGTTTTGTTTTGTTTTTTGATCTACTGAATGCCTGAAACCTTTCCTTTTGTGGAAAAAGAAGCTACTTTCTTTTTTAGCAATAATAAAATATGGTAAAAACAATGCAACAGGATGGTAGCCTTCGTCCCCATCCTGAGCAATCTCAAGGACACACCCTCCCAAGGTGTTGCTGTATTGAATGTATGGCAGGAATTTATTCACAGTCTTGCTTACTTGCAGGTTCTAGAGCTGCTGGATGCTAGCTTTTTAAATTCTCTGAATTAAATATAATAATTTAATCATTATGTGAAATATTTTTTACTTTTCATTTCTAGCTCTCGTGCTCATTCCCCCATGATAGCTGTAGGAAGTGATGACAGTAGTCCAAATGCAATGGCCAAAGTTCAGATTTTCGAATATAATGAAAACACCAGGTCAGTACTGCTTTGGTTAAGTATTATTCCAAATTGCATTTTAATAACTTTAGCTTTTAAAAATGTTTAATTTTTAAAACTGTTATTCCTTTATTTATTAGCTGAATTATGTATTATTTATTACATACTTAACTGATTTCCTATCATATGCCATGTTCTGTGATAGACTATCCTATATAATAAAAGCTTAATATGCTCAGTATCCCACTGTTCATTTGACTTTTCCACCAGTTGCTATGACGTGCACTGATCACCAGGGGGCAGACACTCCTTCTGGTAGCTTAGCTTGCTGCTGGGATCTGGCTGATCGGGACTGGGCAAGATGGGCCGGACACGCCCTAGAGCCCTCCCGCGGTTCCTCCCTGGCCCCGATCATGCACTGGTGGGGGTCCCTCGGCCTTGCCTGCGCCCTCTCACAATCTGGGACCCCTCAGGGGATGTCAGAGAGCCAGTTTTGGCCCGATCCCGGAGGCCGTGCACGAATCCGTGTACCAGGTCTCTAGTGATAAAATAAAATTGAATGATACAGATGACAAGGTAATTGATTTCCCAGTATGTACCATCTTGCAGGGAAAACAAGCAAACAAAAAAGTAAAAAATGGTGATGTATTTTATAAACCAGGAGAATCAGGATATTAAGAGTTTACACCTAGGGGCAGGAAGCCTGGAAGGTTCACCCAAAGGCAGACCTATAGGATGAGTAGAAGTTAGCCAAAGAGGGCAAAAGTTTTCAGATGGAGAAAACTGCATGTGATAAGGTCCATGAACAAGAGAGCCAATATACACTGAGTGGCCAGATTATTATGACCACCCCATCAGTACTTCGTTGGGCCACCTTTTGCCTTCAATACTGAGGTGATTCTTTTTGGCATTGACTCCACGAGATGTTGAAAGGTGATGCGAGGAATCTGACACCATGCCTGATGAATAGCACTGTCCAGTTCTGTGATATTTGATGGTTGTGGAACCAGCTGCCTGATGGCTCTTTTAACTTCGTCCCACAAATGCTCAATTGGATTGAGATCTGGTGATTTTGGGGGCCACCTAAGCAAAGTAAAGTCTCCCTCATGTTCTTGAAACCACTCCTGCACAATATGAGCACCATGGCATGGCACATTGTCTTGTTGGAAGAAGCCATCTCCATTGGGATACACCATCGACATGATAGGATGAACTTTATCAGCAATGATACTTAGGTATGTTGTGCTATTTAGACGTTTATAATGGTCTGGCCCTCTAGCAACTTCAGG